GTGATAGTCAGGCTGCAATGTTGCAGTCCATATTTCTACTGCTTGAGGTGTTTACAGCATCCCCTTTGAAAACGTTTAGGAGGAGGTAGTTCTTGTCTTTACTTTTCAAGTGTGACTTGGCCACGATCCTTGGGAGTACCCGGAATGTCCCCAGACCGATCTGTTTGTGGAGAGTCCTGGTCGAGCTTCCTGTGTTTTTTTTGGTGCGTGGCGGTGTTTTTTTTGTTTGTTTTTGTGGTCAGGTGCTCGGAAGGTGCTGGTTTGGATTGGCCGCGGGATTCGAGCTCCTGGTTCTTAGAGGGCAGATGGGAAACAGCCGGAGGTGATTCTCTTGCACTCTGAGGCGGGCGATGAGGTGCGGGAAGGCCATGAGGGTGCTGGATGTTGGGCGCCCTCCAAAAAATCCGCCCCTCCACCCCCCCCCCCCGCCCCGGCCACCTGGAACTTCCCCCCCCCCCCCGACCTGGAACCCCTCCCCAGGGCCCCTCGCCCGCAAGGACCAGTTCTTCTGGGCGCAGCTGCTGGAAGCCAAGGGCCTCGGGGTGCAGGCGCGGATGTAGGGCGGCTTGCCCCACCGCTGCCACCAGCCCGCCTTGTCAGCCTGTCACTCCCCGAGTTCCAGGACTTTATGTTTATTGCCACGTGTCCGTTTGGTACCCTTATAGTGGTAAGAAACAAACCTGGGTTGCGTTTTTTTTCTCGCCAATCCACTCAAGTCACAGTGAGCCAATGCCAAACTGTTCAAACGACATCCTTCTTGTTTCCTTTTGTAGGAATTGGCCAGGGATTGGCTGTGCTTTCACAAGTGCAGGCGGGCACCATGAACGACCTCACAGCGCCTTGGGCTGTTTTGGCAGGGCTCTGGTTACGAGTGATGTAGGGGCCGGGTGTGTAGGGAAAAAGACGGGGGCGGGTGGGGGGGCCGATGGCTGGGCCTCCCACGGTATGTTGGGCTCGACTTCGGATGACCCCGGGTGCTCACGAATCGCCCTTTCTCCAGGGGATTACTTGTGGGGGTCCATGGGTCGAGTGGGGAATCGTCACTTTTGGAGGGGCCCTGCACCCTCCAAGAAAAACATATTTTGCTCACTTTGGGGTTCCCACAAACTTCTACGTTCTTTCCACTAGCACTTTTCTTTTCTCCTGAGGAAGAGGACCTGGTGCAGGCCATCGCAAAAGGTGCAGCTTGTCAGACGGCTGCGCAGCAGCTGGGGGAGGCGGCTTGGGGGGGAGGGGAGAAGCCGCACCCAATGCGATCCAGCTTTATTTTTTTGGAACAAACGCTAAAGAACACTGTGTGTTTAAGCCTCTTTGCGTTCTCATTGTGTTTGATGGCTGGCCCAAAACGATTTGGGGCAACCGAAGGACCGAAGCACATGCAAATCCAAGGAACAATGCAAAAACCGACGCTCTTGTTTCACTGCTTGGTTGAAGCCTAACAAACACAAGTTTTTTGCATGTTTAACCCTTGTGAGCAGGCTTGTTTGGGAACTTGGCCATAAAACTGCAAAACATGTGGAAAACACAGATCGGACAAGCAAATCATTATTTTTATTTGGCACTGACAAAGAAACAACAACGCTTGAGTGTTTTCTTTTGAGAGTAGAACAACAAAAGCACAATATTGCTAGGATTGATGGCTGACGCGCGCCCAACAAACCTCGTTGGTTTTTTGGAGGGACAAAGCGAACAAGGCAAACAACCTGAAGGAAAACAAACAAGCAACTCGAGAAAGCCAAAAGAAGCAACACTCTTGTTGGCAAAACCAACACATTTTCCTCCGAGTTGTTCTGTCCGTTTTTGATTTTCTCGAGATGTTGTGTGTTTGTCGCGTTCCACTGAGTTGTTGTGGTTTTTGCAGTGCATGACCAAAACACAAACACATATTGATGACTCTGATCAAAAAATGATGAGACATTCAATGCATTGATAAATAAAGGCAGAGTCGATTTAGATTTTGATTTTTTAATCAGAATTCAACACCTTGACTCACCTTGACTGGTCACCTTGACTGAAGCGGGTAGAAAGCTCTCCCTATACAGCTCCTGAGAAGGCTTCGTATAAGGATCATTGCTCCTCATAAGGCTCCATGTAAAGCTGCTTGTAGGACTCCGTGTGGAGCTTCTTGGAACATGCTCCTTAAGGAAAAGGCTCCATATACGGCTCCTTGCAAAGACCCTTGTAAAGCTGGGCTCTGTACAAAGCTCCATATAAAGCCATTTAATAGCTCCTTAAACGACTCCTTATAAAGCTCTTCTAAAAGCTTCTTAAACGGCCACTTGGACAATTCCTTGTGAACTCCTGCATAAGCTTCTTAGAGTGCTTCCTTTAACGCTCCTTTCAAGCCTCCTCATACAAAATTGGATTCTAACTCAAGTTTAGTTCGAATTTAATTGGAATTCATGAGGTAAGAACTCAATGTAGGATTTCTATTTTGAATGAGGATTTAACATGGAGTTCCTTTCCACATCTGATGTTGAATTAACATCAAGTACTAGACTAGACATAGGGTTTGATAAGGAAAGAGTTACATTAGACTTCAATCTTCAATTTAGAATTTAACACAATTAATTCCATGCACAGTCTTTAACAAAGGATTTATTGTAGTGCAATTGTTATATTAATTGGGATTTGGTTTGAATCCCTTGTAATATGACTCGATCTAAATGAGAAGGCAATTACACTTGTGACAGAATTTGAATAAGGACACAATTGCATTTGAATGTCGAATTTATTTTGAACTTAAGCATGATTTCCTCGCCAAATAGGACTTTGAGGAACTTTAATGGACTTTGAATGTCTCTTTCGATTGAGAATTTAAGTGGGACTTGGTTTTCAAAAAGAACTTTACAAAGTTAATTGCAATTTTAGTAGACTTTGCTAAGTCCCCACTTCTGTTTTGGCTCCAGGCTTTGTACAGATCGGGAGGGTGGGGGGGTGAGCTTTTATTTGTTTGTAAGTTCCGCGTAAAGTCCACCTTCAGGTGGTCAATTTAGTGAAATTTGTGACCCCTCTCCCCTCCCCCCTGCCCCCTCCCCCTTCCCCCTCCGCCCTCCCCCCTCCACCCTCCTCCCCCTGCGCCCCCCCCCCCCCCGCCCCGCACAGGCCATTCGCTCCAAGCCAGCCGGGGTGGAGGTGCTGAGCCAGATGTTGGCTGAGGCGCATGGCTAGGCCCGGCTCCGCTTATCCGCCCGGCGAGGCGATGGCAGAAGATGTGGATGTGGACCCCTCTTTTTTTTTTTGTGTGTGTGTGTGTGTGTTAGAATTGAAATAGGGTTTCCTTTTGAAGGAGGATTCCACACAATGTCCATTAGTTGTTTTTGAAGATCAAAGTTCAAACTTAAGGTGGGTACCCGCCCAGCAGTTCACATGGAACCTGAATTTCGGGGTGTTCTGGAAGACCGTTTTCCTTTTAAAGGGACCCCCTGTTAGGTTCGATGTTAATCGGTGGGTGGCTAAACAAGGGAACATCACCATTCTGGGAGGTCCGGTTCCTGAAGAAACACACCCAGTTTGGTGGGAGAAGATTTGGGAGCATCTCCGATATTTTTGGTGGGAACGCCATGCGAACTGGGAGTTGTTCGTTCACGATCAATGCACACACCCGATTTGGCGCACCCGGTTTAACCTTCAACTTGTGCTTGCGAGCGTCAAAGGGTTTCCTACCAACCTCACACCCTCCAACATGGGACCCGCCCTTTTCAGGGGTCCACCCTATCCTGGCGACAAAGCAGAGAGTAGCATGAGCATGCAGCGAAAACAACGCAACCTCGCTGTTGGGCAACAACGCCTCTCAAACACAAACGAGCACGTGCACGTGTCTTCCATCCCCCCTCGGTTGGAAAAGACAACTATGAAGATAGAGGTGTGGTTGGCCCTCGATTGTCGTCTTGTCGTTCCCGGGATAAGCCAGTCCCGAAGCTTTTTTTGCCGGCCGGTCCAGCGGCAACTCAATGGCGTGGAGACCCTCCCGCTCGCTAAGACCCTCCTGCAATGCTGCAATATTTCCCGAGCCTGAATCATGGAATCTCAGATTGAACATCAAATGTTGGACCCATGAACAATTTGTAATCAAATGTTGGACCTATGAATAAATTGCATTAAACAAGAGATCCAACACCTGAATTAATACTGGGATTCCCAAGCAAAGGACCATCATAGTGGCCTCAATTGACTTTCAATCTGGTGAGTTCGTCATCAAAGAGTCGGATGATCAAAGGAGGGCGAGGTTTCCGGCTTGCCGGACGGCCTTTCGGTGGATTGACCGCGGGCCGTGCCAGCACGGCTTTCAGTTCCAAAACGTGCGCGGGGGGGGGGGGGGGGCGGCGGCGTATGCCCTGCGTTTTTGCCCACTCCACGTTCTTTTTGTTTTTCCCAGCTCCCGGTTGTTCTTGGTGACTGGACCCTCACTTGCCCGAGGCGAATTGAGCCGAAACGACCTTTCAGATCTTTCAGTTTTCCCTTTTTGGCCCCCGTTTTTGGTCATGGCCACCCAAAAGGTGACGTCTTGGTGCCTGAAATCGGATCCGCAGACCAAGTTTTTTCAGGCCCCCAGAGGCCAGCCTGGGCCGAAAACCAGGTCGAATGTTGAAAGGGTGGACTAAAACGGGAAGGTTTCAATCGAGTTCATCAGGGGGTCATGAATCCACGAGTCAAAAGTTGAGCCTCCCCCTTGGACGCTGAGGGTGTAGAGCTCACAGGGATCCCGGAGCTGTGTTGAGCGAGCTGGGATACAGTGGGGTGAAAGATGGCACAGTTCTCCCACAGTTTCGTCATTCCCTTTGGCCCAAATGAAGAATTTCCTTCAGGTGGGATCGACCTTCTTTTTCCTCTTGGCAGGGCTATGGCCATGCGTCAGACTAGAGCTAGTTGGCCTTTGCCGGCCTTGGCCAGGCTAGTTTTCAAAGTTGTACTGTCCCAGAGTGCAGCTTCGCATTTTCTTTCGGGGGGGAAGCTCTGGTTCTAAGCTTAGACTTTGTCCTCACGTGCACAGCTGCCAGGTATGGGTGGACGCCTCGCAAGGGCGAGGCTGCGGGGTGAGGGAGGCCTAGGCTGAATGCTGTATGCCATTTTCCGTCCCTGACACGCTGACGTTGGCCAAAAAGGGAAGTCAAGGGGAAGTGAAAGCCCGTCAAGAGTTTGTTTCTGTTCCCCACTTCCTTTCAAGGTAAACCGCAGCGTCCAGGCATTGCGCGCTATCCCGCTATCCCCCCATGAGCCAGCATGAATTCGGGGCAGCAACCTTCAGGGCTCGCTGGATTTCCCCTTGACAAGTTGCAATTTGCCTCGCGCTTTCAAAAGTTGCAGTCTGGAAACGATCGCCACTTAGGTTCCAAAAAAGGGAAGTGGCTCGGATGCCCTGACCTTGTTCCACTTCCCGTTCGTGGCTTCGAGTCCTGCCGGGTGAAACTGCTCCGCTCTTGGAGACCTGCTCCTATCTGCGAGATCTAGAGGCGAATGCCAGGGCAGGGGTGTGAGCTTGTGGGCACCTCATTTTTCTGACTTCTCCGAAGAGGCATGTTCTTAAGCAAGTGGAAGGTTGCATTCTCCTTCCTAAGCGTCTCACACCTGAACACAAAAACACATGCGACCAAATGCCCCCTTCTCTAGCCACCTCACGCTACCCTCAATGTCTTCGCCACTTTCACTGGAGGTGTTTCCGTTCAAAGCTCCGAGGAGGCCAAGGAAGATAAGAACCAGCACCTGGCAAACGGGGCTGGTCTTACTTGCCTTTTACTCATTTGGGCATATGGGTCAACCAGTAAACCATCAGGGGACCGCAGGTTTCAGTCCATGTTTGCAAGTACCGGGGTTCCAAGTTGGGTACCTATTTCTGACCCACAGCCATTTGGTTTCCAGTAGGTCCCCTTTGCCAACCCCATGAGCCTACCTTGTTCTGACTCTATCAAAGTATGGGTCGAACAAAAATTCCGCAGGCGCTTGCAACTTCATCCTCCAGAACTGCAGCGGCAACGGCACGCGGCTCAACGACCAGCTCCTGCAGGCGATGTGGCGAGTGGAAACACTGGCTTTAGATCTCCCCAAGTGCGACTTGTTGGTTGCCAATTTATGGTGAGCTTCCTTTTGCCGGGGGAGGTTCGAAGAAAATATAGGGACCCCAGTTGGGGGAGACAATTTTAAGCTAGGGCGCATTTTGGGCAGTCCACTCAGGCTGAGTCAAAACTCACTTTTGCTTGGGAGACCGGTTTGGGTGGGTAACAAGCAGTTGGAACTCCTTTTTTTCAATCGGTTCAGGAAGTGAGTCGAAACATTGGACAGCCATTGTAGGGGTTGCCATTCAGGAACTACCATGGCCCCTTTCCTACGGAGCTTCGACCGCAACTCGTGTTGAAAGGATCTTTCAAGAGTCCAATTTGCTTGGCTCTAATGGGGCCCTTCATGTGTTTTTTTCGGTTGGGGGGTGGGGGTCAGGTGCCCCCTTGCTAAACCGCCTGGTTTGATGTTTCAATGGGAAGAGTCCAACTTGTACTGGAAGAGTCCGACTTGTTGAGAGTCGGGCTTGTTTTGCTGAAGGACGTGACATGCTATGCTAAAGGATTTGTCAAGAGACGTGACATGGTCCCTACGGCTGCAGTCTCCTTAGCAGCTATCCGAAATCTCGTTCCTTGCGAGTTTCCTTCCTCTTCTCGGTGGTTCCCAGCCGTCCCTTGGTTTGTAGGTGTTTGTTGCTTTAGTGAGGGGGGGGGGTGCCATGGAGCCCAGTTACGTATTTTCTCTTGGATTTAAATCCTAGGCTAAGGGTTGATCGTTGACCCACTTTTGCCGTCACCTGCTCGAAAGGAGTGACATTGGGTACGCTTACAACATTGCCACTAGGAATTGAGCTTAATCACCAAACTCGAACATCTGTGCTGCACAGAATCCATATTGGCCGTGGCTCATGTCGCTTTAATGAGGGGCGGGTGGTGGGTGTGCAGTTGGTTGGGCAGTTGGGTTGACACCGCCACTGGCGGATCCCCTCAGTTGGAGACGCCTTCCCCCCCTTGCGGCTGCAAGGAGCTTTCGGGGTGACATGCCACCAGGCTATCGCCCGTTGGGTTCAGCGATTCCGCGACTCCCGCTGCGTGCAGGGGCGAGGGGAGCAAGCTCCCCTGCACCACGGGGACCTGGCCGAGACGCCCGGAATTCGATGAAGGAGTCACCAAGAAGAGCCCAGGAATCTTCACGGAAGCGAGTGGGCAGGTCTCAAAATGTTCTTCTTTTTGGTTGGTATTTGAAGGGGGGCAAAAGGAGCATGGTCTTCCAGGATTCTGGGCAGGTGTTTTTTTGGGAGGAAGACCACTTTGAGAGACTCCTTCAAGGTCTTGGAAGACTTTTCCAGACCGGTTTTCAGGGGCTTGGGCGTGGAGGCTAGGAGAACCACTGGTCGCTAGCGATTAGGGCAGTAGCGTGCCCTGGGGAGCTGTGCTTTAGGAGCAAGAATGCACACATTCATGTCAAGCCCGGATTAATTTAGACCCTTGGCTGATGAAATCGGGGGTATCCCAACACTTACATGGCAATCCTTCACTGTGGGTGACACTATTGACAGGACGGATTTCTGAATCGGAGCCCTGGCAAGAGGTTGCTCCCAAGACAAGCAATGAAAGCGGTGCTGTTCCACCTCTTTGGTTTGACCCTTCGTTTCACCCTTTCCTTTCCCCCACTTCCCAAGTTGCTGGACTCTCAAAAGCCCGTGTGGGACGACCATCTCAGTGGAAAAGCGATGCCCAGGTGACGTTGACCCGCTTCGGGCCCGGAGCCGGCAAGGCGGAGCAGGTCCGCCCCGCCCAAAGCGAAGCGAGATGAAGTGAGCGGATCTGACCTGTTGGTTTGCCAATTCGGTGTGAGTTTTGCTTGGGTATGGGTCAAATTAAACCCACCAGGGGAACGCAGGTTTTAGTCTTTGGTTCCATTTATCAGGGTTCCATTTTGGGACGCATTTTTTTCCCACAGCCGTTTGATGGCCGCAAAAGGTGGAGCTTTTTGCATCTGGGTCCAAAGCTGCCTGAAGAAGGGCGAGGTTTTTTTTGGTTTGAGCTCCTGCGTTTCTCGTTTTTCCGCTTGAGGTGGGGGAGGGCGGGGGGGCGTCAACAGGATCGAGAGTGAGCATTGTGAGTGCTCAAAAATGCGGTTCTTTTCCCTTGTGACAAGCTTGAGGTTGTAATTGGTGTCCGGGGACAAGAAGCTGCGCGCAACTGAACTGGGCTTCAGGGAAGCTTCCCGAAATACTGCAAGACACGCGGTAGGGTGTCCTTTTTAGGTTAGAAATAGATAAGTTTCACAATTTTAGACGGCTTAAAACCAACCAGGGAAATTCCATCTATTTTGGCACACCTATGACTGCAACAAGACACGATTTTGATTTGGAAATAGCATGCGCGGCTCGTTTACAGGCACACACCACCATGCGCGCCGGCAACGACGCATATGCTAGGCAAGGCGGCCTGCGTGAAAGCTTTTTCGACACCCCTCGCGTTTCGAGTTGCAGGTCATAAAGGGTGGCCTTCCCCAAACATGTCCCACCGATTCCTGGCGGAGCGGCAGGCGGATTTCATCCAGTTCCGTTTCGACCTGAGCCGGTCCTGCCTCGAGGCGCACCGGGACGTTGGAGGCAAGAACATCTACATATATATATATATACATATATTTATATTTATAGGTATATATATACATATGTAAATATATGTAGGCATATGTCTATACATGTATATACATATATATTTGTATTTATTATACACATATATGCATATATATGCATATATATATATATATGGTCACCCCCCGCCTCCCCCCCCCCTCAGGGCCTACCTTCCTATATCCTAGTGAAAAGTGTCAAGTCTGCCTGATGGACTTTCTCCCCAAGTTCCTTGACTTGTCAAAATTCGGGTTTGGGCCTTGGGGGTTCGCCTTGGGTGAGTGCAGTGGACGGCGCCAGGGCTACCGCGGCAGCCCCACTCCCGGAGGCCCTTGGGCGCTTCGGGGGGGCGCCGTCGAGTTTGGAAGCTCAAAGCCCCGCAAAAACGAACACACGAGAGAACGTGGTTGCAGAAAAGACTCCAAGTGAGCCACAATCAAAACCCGGGTAGATGAAGGTCAGTAAGGGACGATCCCAACCAGAAATAGCTGCGGCCGCCTTCTTAATCCTTTACATGGTTCTGGGTTCACCATTTTTGTACCAGGTTTTGATTGCGACTCAAGTGTCCACTATACCTGTCAGGTATGGGCGGCGGCGGTTGAAGCCAAGCCATGGGGAAAACTCAAAGCACTTGGAACGAAAATCGGGGCGTTTCAGGGCAAAGATCCCCCCATTGGCCGGTTCGACTGCAGGCCATGGGTGTGTCAGTTTTTCTCGGGTACCCCCCAAATGATCGTTGTCCTGTTGGTTTCCTTTTATCATAAAACCAAGAAAGGGAAGCGACACAGACCTGTCTTAGTAGAACCAAAGGTCAATCGCTGCTTGAATGAGAGCGGTCAATGGCAGAACTGTGGCAGAACTGGGATTTGCAGCCAACACGAAATAGGAACAACCAGTTGAACAGTTGGGTGTCAAAACCACCGAATTAGAACAACATACTTTTTACAAACAAATGTCCGTGAGTGTTCTTGATTCTCCGGCTTGCCGGACACTCCTTGCATGTTGTGCAGTGTTTGCTGCTGGATACATTCCAGCCTTTGGTGTGCAAGTACAACCACTTTGTTCTATGCAACGCCCCTCCCCCAAAAATGAGCACAACCAAGAAAAAGAAACAAATCAACCACTTTGTTCTATGCAACGCCACAACCAAGAAAAAGCAAGAAAACAAAAAATCAACCACTTTCTTCTTTTCCACGCCCCTCCCCCCGAAAAATGAGCACAACCCCCCCCAAAACAAAAAGCAACGTGGCGAAAGAGCAGCCAAGGCAGGCGGGTTTCTGGCAGCCTGCCAGGTCCGGATGGTGACGTCGCAGGTCGCGAGTCGCGAGTCGCGAGTCGCGAGTCGACGCCGAGGGCTTGAGCGGGGACCTCTATGACATCATACTGAATCCTTCTTCAATCATTCAATGCCGCCAAAACTAGATTCTACATACATACGTACAGACAGACAGACAGACAGACATACCTACCTACCTACCTACATCCATCCATCCATCCATCCATCCATGCATGCATGCATACATACACACACACACATACATAACGTGAAAGCTTCCTCTGGCCCACGATAGACTTTTAAGCCCAGCTAATCTGATAGGAGGTGATAGGTTCACCTGTAATTGTTGAGTCTACCCTGTGAAAAAGTGGATGGTGGGGCTTTTTGGATGGCAAGGATAAAACCAGCCTGGCATCCAGGTTCAGCATGGGCATTTGTTGGGGTTCGTATGCTGTGCGGGTCGGGTTGTGAGATGTGCGATGAAGGGCAAGTTCTTGCTAGTTTCAAGGGTGTTCGGCCACCTTGGCAACATATGGCTGTGGTTGTCAAAACCAATGGTATCGATCCCATTTTGGGGTAGGTGCCACCCATTTTAGTCTAGTGGGGATTGGGATGTTCATTGGGCGCACGATTTGGATTTTGACCCATGGCCACATACGGCCTGAAAGCATAGATTTCCTGTGCCAAGCTGACCCCACACACACGTGGCAACAGGACCCTGTTTCCTTCAGCCCGTTTACAGCTTGTTTTCGCACAAGCAGCTTCAGTTCAATATTGCCCGGTTGAGTGAAAGTACTGCAACTCCACGCGCTTTAGCTTCTCCACTTTACATAGGGGTCTCCTGCAAAACTCTTATTGTTTCTTCTTCTTTTTGTTTTTCCTCTTCTTCGGTGGACTAAATAATCAAGTTTGAGCCAGTTGGCTCAGAAGCATATGACTTGTGTCCCCCTTTCCGTGAGCCAGGTTTACTTGCCCAGCGAATTTGGCCATCGCTCCAAAGCTTCTGGCAGGTTCTTTTGGTTTGAGACCGTCAAAGTGGAAACGAGACAAGCTGGGGCCTGCGCAGGCAAGGCATTCCAAGCATTTCCGTGTCAATTGGTTGCATTGGACAGCTCCCTTTTTGTGAGTTCCTGGACTTGGTTTGGTTACTTGTTTGGACAATCCACCCCGGAAGGCCCGAGTTCCTGGACTTGGTTTGGTTACTTTCTTGGACACGGAAGTACTGAGAAAGAGGGTCGACTGGAAAAGCATTATCCAGGGATCTGTGATCAGGGAGGTGCGGCGCAGAGTTGCATGTTGAGGCCTGTCTGCTTCCCACAGCAGCCGCAGCCTGGAGTCTTGGAGATGGCTTCTGTTTGGGCGGGCTGCATGTGGGTCATTCGAACACTCCAGCCAGCTGTCCCCATCCTTACAAATGGAATTGGGGGTGACCCGGAATTCCATTTATGGTCCAACATGTCCGGCCAAAAGCAGAGGCGACAAGAGCGACGCAGAAACTGCATGTGAGATTCCACTTTGACACCACGAAGAGGACATAGTCATCGACGAGAAACTCGGATTTCACATGCATGCTTGCGGGCACAGGGTCCCTAGAATACAGTTGGGCCAGTCAACAAATCACCTGTACCATCTGAATTAGAGGTCTTTTTCGAGGGTTCGCCCTTTTTGGCCGGTTTTAAGGGGACACCACCAGCAAACCCACATTTTGTTTTTGTTGGCAAGGGGGGGGAGGAAGTTGAATTTGAAAGTATGATCTTCTGTGTGCCTTCTCTTCGTAGGCCGAACGGCAAATACCCCACCAGGCCTGGTGCCTGGTGCATGGGGCAAGGGCTTTCGGCTTCGGGAAGTCCACCTGCCTCTCTGCACTTCCGAGGGGCAGGCATCGGTACATGCGACTGGCTCTTAGCCGAAGAAGCCTTTTGCAGTTTTGGCGATGAGTGCGCAATGGGGATGTGCGCCTGTCTGTTTTGGAGGGTGCCCCTTCCTTTGTGGGTTTAAAGCGGGACCAAAAGAAGGACGCCCACCTTGAGGGGTTCCCAAAAAGACACCCATGTGGATGCCCGCAAATTGGCGGCTTTCCCGTGTTTTGTGGCTGGAGGACCTTAAGCCATACTGTGCAGTTTGAGGGTCAACTGCGAGCTGAGTCAGCTTGGGCCAGCTGAGTGGCGGTTCTCCTTGAACCCTTCGCTGCCAGAATGAGGGCAAACACCCTTGATATTGAAGCCAGTGCGAAGGTAGTCGTCGAGCTCAGCGATGCCTGAAAGCCTTCCTTGTGGGCTTCCCTCGGAAGCAGCCTGATTTCAGGGTGCTTCACTGTTCTTGGCATCTTTTCCCGTTAGCCTACCTTTGGCTAAACAAAGGTAAAACACATTGCTCACATGCCAAGGGTTGCAAAAGCGTGGCTTGGATTGGTCGGCCACGTGCACAACAATTGGACACTCCGTTTAGGTCAAACAAACGCCTGAAGACCGATCCGAAACTGAAAGCCAGCTGCCAGAAAGAGTCTGCCAAACTCATCTACCAACTGAGTAGCCCCCCAAAAATGTCTTACCCCAGAACCACCAATCCAAACACATGGTGGTTTGGATTTGGATTTGAACCCTTGCTTCTTGCACAGGGTAAATGGGAGACCAAACCACGACTCCAAGGGAAGCTGAAAGAGGGAAGCTGAAGCCTGGGCCCAAGGCCGGGGCCGGTCCTCGCGCCGGTCCTCACGCCCCGAAGGCGCACTCGGGTTTTGGGGACGGGGTTTGGGAGAGGGGTTTGGCGGGTGAAAAAGAGGCATGGGACTTTTCTGTGATTTTTTTTTTTTTGTGTGTGTGTGTGTGTGTGTGTTAACCCTGGTACTTTCCTGCTCGTTTTTCTAACACAATTTGTTAAGCATCTTTTTGAAATACACCTAGCCCGTGTTTTTAATTCTTTCCTCACGTTTTTTTTTTCTACCCTTGAGGCAGGTTTGTTCTTCCCTGTTCGCTTCCATGATCCTGCGGTACGTGTGCAACTGTTGGGTTTTCAGGTTCTGCTTGTTTTCAGTGGCGGACTGTGAAGCGCATGTGATTCTGCTTCCCTACCAAGGGTTGGACAGTTGTTGCCAGAGCGTTTCCATCCAAGGGTCCAAGCAAGTACGTGCATTATTACCTTATGAGCATGCGACCCCATTCCAGCTACTTATGCCCTCCAAGTGGATGGGCAACCGCCAAGCTCGGGCCCCGAACTGAGACTGAGATGGTCTCCCGGACATGGCCACCATCTCAACATTCGCAGAAGCCTTCATTTGGGCGGTTGTAATCCTCAAGATCCTTACCTTGGGTTACGAAAACTTGACTGCCACTGGGTTGGATCCTTAGACTTTAACTTTTTGGGAAATCAAGGGGGTTTTCACTAAACCCCCAGAAAGTTAAACTTTGTGCAGGGGGATCAACAGCAACCAAGCATTAGTTTCCTTTGGGTTTCCTTCGTTTGGTTTCTGCCAATGCCTGCGGATCAGTCATTGGGTGGATGAGCAGGGGATTGGTTCCCTCAAAAATGGCACGCAACCCCCACGTGAAACCAACTTTTGCGGCCCTTTGGCGTGTGCTTGTCCTGGGCCAGACATCTGTCTTTTTCTTTTGTCGGGGTCGCTGAATAACTCCCCTTCAACCGCTGCAATCCATCGCCGCTTGGGTTAGCCTTTTATTCCACTACCCCACCACCACCATCACCACCACCTTTGGGCAGCCGAACTCCGAAACCCGCCGCCAAGCTTTTTTTCGTCGAATCAAGGCGTCAAAGTGGTACGCAGCGCCCCAGCCAGCAGTCCGGAGGTGGGCGTCCCGTGGGCTAAAGAGGACTGGGGGGGGGGGGAGCCACGTCCCGCTTTGTGTAGGGGGGTGTCCCTGGTTTTAGTAGGGATGTGTCACTTTTGGAGAGGACCCCATATTAACAAATGAACATTGATTAATATGGGGTCAATATTTGGAACCTGCGATCCTTTCAATGGAAGCCAGAAAGTTGAACTGTTGAAGTGGGGGGAAACGGTTCCGGTGCCGCACTGGGAACCCCGGATTATTTGAAACGGGTGTGTCGCTTCTTTTTTAAAGGCGATAGGTAGCCTTTTCCGGTTGGTGAAAAGGGACATTTTCAAAAGGAACCCCGAAATTCATGGGGGGGTACCCGAATTGCTTTTTGTTTCTTCTTTTTTTTCGTGGAAACTCCACCGGTTCTTTTCTGGTTCCGGGTTACGGGTCCTTCTTTGCTTTGGGTTGCGATGAACATGGAGCCCTTGCGGACGCTGGTAGTCAAGGCCCCTATATTGCAAGTGGGGGTAGTTCAAGTCGACCTGGCTCTCTCTTCATGTCTTCTAGCGTAGCGACTCCGCAAATCTAAGGTAAACACGAGCTTTCAGAACTTGGCGAAGTATTGAAATGCGCAGATGCGATATGGGGCTAAATGTAATTAGAATGCGGTGGGAGAAAAGGCCCACGGGAGTAAACCAACAAGCGAACCTCACCCTGCTGACGCGGGCGACAAGGATGTGGAGCTGAGGCGGAACACGATCCAGCCCCACACGATGCCTGAGAGCGGCCCGTTGCACCGAGTAAGTCGGCCCTTGACAGCGCGGTCTCAGCAAACTTTGGCCGACATCACCTGGGACCTCGGCGCAGTCCAACAAGCAGTTTCAGGTCGGTGACCCATTCTTCAGCTCCATGGCTGCGGGTCATCTGCGCGAGCTGCCTGAAAACTCATGCGGCGCAGCTGGGCTTTGGGTTGGAATCAAGTTTTTATAAGGTGAGCTTGACAAGTCGATCAGTAGACCCATCTGCAGAAATACCACCCCTCAGGAAGAGGGCTTTTCTGTGCGCGTCCCCTCTTTACTACTTTTTTCTGCTCCGCTACAGGTGACGGATTGGGATGAGGGATCGATCCACCTCATTTTGAGGAACCAGGAGGGGTCATATCAACCCCAGTCGCCCCCTCTTTTTCGAGGAAACCAGGAGGTAGCCCTCAATGGCCCGTACGAGCTGCTGCTGTGAAGGGGATCTTGACAATTTTTCAGGGTTGATCCAACATGTTTTGCTACAAGGGTCCGCGGTGTTCAGACTGTTTGGGGGTTGCTCGGGTCATTGTTCGACTGCTGGGAGTCAAAGTCAGGACCTGGGGTTGCTTCCCTTTAGCCGCTTATGTGGCTGCTAAGATCCAGAACGCGCAACGCGGAACGACACCGGATCCTCCCGTGTCAGGGCGATCCGGCGCTGGTCTTGGAGGTGATGGGCCCGGGGGTCAAGATGCAGGCAGGCACCGAGGGCGGGGGTCCGCTCCCTAGTTTGTCCTCTTCACCAACAGTTGCTTAAGAATGTGTTTCATTTTCCCCTGTTGGTTTTAAAGGGAGTGGACAACTCCTGGAAATAAGTTGCCCGTTTCCAGGCCGCAAGCTTTGACAAGGGCGGCGCGCCGTCGGTCAACGCATCGAACGATCGAGGAAGTTCCCCACATTAATTGGGCCACTCCCTGAGAAAAGAACGCTGGGTTCCCGTTAGCCTCAATTTGCGGTTTGGATTTGGCTTGGGTTTGCACTCAAATTGGACGGCCCCCAGGCCTCCCAGGGTTTGCAAAGCATGGCAGGGCTTTGAGCAAAGTGTTGCGATGCTGTGCTATCTCGCGGCGCGCCAACTCGTGTCCAAGCAACCGCGCTTAAAACTAGAGTTAAAAGATGTTATTGGAGTGGAGCTGTGAGTCAGCTCTTCAGTAATGCGCTCCTAAACCTATGGCGGCGGAGCAGCAGAGGCTGACTGACTGCGAGCGGAAAGAAACAACTTGTGTAGTGCTTCGATTGCGCACCTAACAAAGAAAGAAGCTAGGCTCATGCCAACTTTGGACGAGCTTCGGGTTCAGGAACTCCTCTGCCGAGCCCTCCCTTCAATGGTCAGGTGGCCAAATGTAGTATTTCCAGTTGGGGGGGAGCCCAAATGTTAATGCGCCTTATTAGGGGCAAGTAAGGTCGAAACAAGGCAAAGCAAGGCAAATACAGCTGAAGGAGGGGTCTCTTTCGTGGCGGCCTTTCGGTTCCCAGCCGGCCGCCAGTTGCCGGAAGACGCGCGGCGCCTGGCCTTCGTGCCGCCTGCGCAGTCAAAGGAGCCTTTCAGGCGGGACGGGTGTGGAGCTTTCAGAGTGGCTGAGGCCTTTCTGTTGGGTGGGTCCCATTTGCATGACGTTGGGGATTGCGGCCCTGACCCCTTCAAACACGGCAACCGCCTGTGGGTTGACACAACGCCCCAAGATACTGGGCCAAACACGAGGGAGCAAGGAAGGGTCGGACATGGGTGTCTCCATGATTGGCTTTCCTTTGCGGGAGCTAAGGAGTACCAGGAGCTCTGTAAGAACATGGTAGCAGAAACAGAGCTTATGAGGCGCAGACAAGCTGCACAAGGATAGAACGTGCCGGTCCCTAGGCACTCTAGCAACCTGCACATAGAGTTGGAGGAGGGACGAGAGAGAGAGAGAGAACTGTTGTAAATAAAATCTTGCTGATGGTCTAGACGTGAGACGTGCCCGACGCGCAACGCAGAAATCGCAGCACGCGAGCTCGTTCCTGTTGAGGCTTGCCGAGTTTGGAAGCAAAGACCCCTCCCAGCGAGAGCAACGTGTGCCGGCCCAGTTCCTTCGTCATCGGGCGCCAGCATCAGTTGGATTTCTGGCCGGAGGCGGGGCGGGCTCTTGGAACGTTGGGCCGGGGCATTCGTAAGCCAAGGTCAGCTCGCCTTAGATTCATAAAGCCCTGGGTAAACAGGTCACGCAAGCGTTTGGTTTTTCTTGCGGGGACACCACCTTTCCTCATTGATTCACGTGTTATTTGTTTTTTCTTCCTCTGCTTATGTATTTCACTTGTTGGGTTCATTTCATGTCATTTTCATGTTGTTTCATTCGTGCAACCGTGCGGTAGTTCATTTATTACTTAATTAATTCATCCATTCATTCATGCATCCATTCATTCATCCATTCCATCCCGTTCCGCTCCGTGCCGTGCCGTGCCGTTCCGTGCTGTGCCATGCCATTCGTTCATTCATTCATTCGTTCCTTCCTTGCTTCCTTGCTTCCTTGCTTCCTTGCTTCCTTGCTTCCTTGCTTCCTTGCTTCCTTGCTTCCTTGCTTCCTTGCTTCCTTGCTTCCTTGCTTCCTTGGCTTTTGCTTCCTTGCTTCCTTGCTTCCTTGCTTCCTTGCTTCCTTGCTTCCTTGCTTCCTTGCTTCCTTGCTTCCTTGCTTCCTTGCTTCCTTGCTTCCTTGCTTCCTTGCTTCCTTGCTTCCTTGCTTCCTTGCTTCCTTCCTTCCTTCCTTCCTTCCTTCCCTCCCTGCCTTCATCCATTCATTCTTTCATTCATTCATTCATTCACTTATTTGTATTTACGTATTTACGTATGGTTCCTTTTTTGTTTACCATTGTTTAAGTTGTTAGTTGTTTTTGCTTTCTTTGTTTCGGCTTGTTTTTTGGGGAGGTCCAATACTCTCTCAGGTCTGTCCATTGGCAGTGAATCTCGTCTGCCATTCATTTGAACGAATTCCTTCGCGGCACCCCGAGCTGACAAATTGTGGCTGCGTGGTTCATCGTTCGCTTGTTTCTGGGGACTCGCACGATCAGAACTGATCAGCGCCCGATTCAGAGAGATAAAGCGAGCACAGAGAAAGAGCGGTCTTTGAGACAATTTGGGAAGATGTTGGGTGACTAATGTTAACCCCGGATAAATAAACCCCTGGTTGTTTAATTGGGGGGTGTCCCCTGTTAGTGGGGATTCAGACAACTTTTGGAGGGAACACACCCCTAATAATGGGACGCGTTTATTAATCCTGGGTCAACAGTAAGCAACTAGGAGGTGAGGCTGGCTTCAAATATCATCAGACAGCCAGCCTCAACGCTCCATCAGAAAAGGGGGTGATTGGCGTGTGGAATCTGATGCGAGTTGAGCACCCTCTAAATCCTGTTTTGGTTCGGTGTGCCGGCTAAAAATTGTCAACCTCGAGTTGGTTTTGATGTTTCTTACTTTGTTCTACCAGGCCAGTGCCGAACAGGAGGGAAGGGTTGGAAGCCACAAACATGGGTGTAGGGGCGCTCACGCTCGGGCTCAGAGGCCGTGCTGAGCATCAAGGCTGTGTGTACGTGTACGTGTACGTGTCTGTGTTTGTGAGAAAGCTTGGCCCAGGATCAAGCGAGTTACTGACAACATTATACGTTTGTTTGGGGAGGACATGGAGGGAGGGGGGGTGTTAAACTGTTAAACAACTAGCTCGCAAATGTTTCCATGCCCCGAAGGAAAAGAAGCACTTTCCATGGCTGAAATGCCAAGCCTCATAGTGAATCTGGAAAAATACTCTCCAAGTTGACCATCTGGTTACGTTTTTGTTTCACAGCGCAAAAGCGCCATCCCAGAGGTAGGTGACGGTAAGTGGTAGGCTTGGCTACGTTCCGCCTTGTTAGGTCTTTCGGGGGAGTCTAAGGGTTCTTGCATGATACCACGTGGCTCCAACCAGGATATGATTCCACGGTCCCCCATATGCCTGACTGATGGACAAAATCCAGAAATCGCGCCACTCCGAAACCATGGAACACCGTGGTTGGTATTTACAAGGGAATCGAATCAGGGTTTCTAGGCCATATTGCCCCTGAAATTGGCGGCCAAGCAGGCGATGGCTTAAACCCACGGGACAAACGCGGAATTGCTTCCGGGCCCCATCGCTTCTGCCCACAGAAAGTGAGGCACCGGGAAAGTTCTGGGCTTGACCCACAGTTCAAATTGCCAGGCCCGCCGAAGCCCAGCCAAAAACCTCCGCCAGGTGTTGCACCCGGACGCCCTGAGCACGCTCTCACGGCAGCACGTGGAGGCCACCATGAGACCATGAGTGCTTGGAGTTGTGCGAGAGGCCGAAGAAGCTTGCTTTATGGGGGGTGATGTTTCTTTCTTTTTCTTCGTTGGGTGCCGGTTGTAGGGCCCCATTTTTTCTTCTCGTGTTCCTCCTTTTTCTGGGGTGGGTGTGGGGGAGGTTGGGGACCACTACCATTTGGCAGATGGATCCACCCTCCGTTTCGCGTGCAAGCCACTGCGCCAGCAAATGGACCGCCAAAACTAGTCCCGGGGTTCTTTTTCTTGACCCGATCAACAAATGTGCAACGTCCAAAACCTCCGTCTACATGTTTATCAGGGACTATGTCATATCGACCCGTGGCGTAAGCAAAACCTGCACGGGCGTAAGGCGGCGTAAGCAACTGTCGAAAAAACATGTCGCGCAAGCATTCCGCGTAAGCTATTTATCCTATGTGTTTCTTCAGTCATGTTGTTTGTCATATTTATGTGTTTCTCATTAGTCATGTGCTTGTCATATCTACCCATTGGGCCGTATATATAGCAATACTGTCCTTTGCTACTACACAACGCAAAACAAGGGAATGTTTGGGCGTTTTCCGCGTAAGGCTCGCGTAAGCTTCGCGTGAGCCCCCACGTAAGCCCCAGCTGCGTTTCTGAGTAGTAGCCTTGCCGGCTTTGAAAAGCCCTTCCTAGACCTGCCATTGTCCAGCTCTGCCGAGCTCATAGTCCAGCTCTGCCGCACGGCGCTGCCTTGCTAAAAGGACCCCGCCAAACGAGAAGGATACTTGCAATTGGAGACTACTTCTACGATAAGCCCCGCTCTTGGGAGCTGGAAGGGCTCAAAGCCGGAGACGACAATGCGTTGACTCGCAAGTTCGCTGCAATGAAGCTGTTCTTCCTCCTTTACATCTTGCTCCACGGCTCGTCATTTGCGTGAAAGGCAAAAGTGCTCGCGTAAGCCGCCTTCCACGGAATTGCATCCGGTCTCTCTGGCGTAAGGGCTGCGTAAGGCCTAATTGAAGCCCATGTGCCGCGTAAGCGAAAGCACGGTGCGCGTAAGGCTGCGTAAGGAAGCGGCGTAAGGAGAGGATGCGACATAGGGAATCACGACACGTTTTGGACATGGCTCAAATGGGAGTGCTTGTCAAGGCAAAACTCTACTGCTATTGGGTTGGAGCTGAAGACTTGAACTTTTGGGATACCCCTCATATTTCCTTACCTCCAAAAGAATCAAAAACTTTTTGCTGGAGGACCTACAGCGCCCAAGCCCAAAGGAACTCCCCCCCCCCAAACTACGAACGCCCACGTACCGCCGAGGAGCTTCGAAGCCAAGCGTCTCTGGGCCGCTGGCGCGTGCGTTCGTCGAAGTCGCGCGCGGTTTTCGCGCGAGGTGCAGACCTGGTGCGCCCAGGGCGGGCGCTTCTCCTTTGTGGCGAGGAACTTGAGCCCCGGCCCCGGGGACGGGGGGGGGGGGGAGAGAGGCATCTTTGGTTCCGTTTTTTTGAGGAACAACACCATTGGCTGAAACGAAGATGCTTTATATTTTCCCATGTTGGTTTTGAGGAGCATCTTTACTATTGAACCACTTTTTGGTTCTTTTCCAGGGGCGAAAACGCTTCAAAGGAGGTTTCCGGTGGTTCCCAGGGCATTTAATTGTTTAAAGAGGGAGCCGTTAGATAGCTTGGCATTTGCTGGTTCCCAAGCATCCGGTTCCGCCCTTTTACCCTTTTTTGGGGTTCCCCTACTAAAAGTCAAAGTGTTGGCAACCCATATTTTAAGGAACAGAACCATTTGCTAGCTGGTTGGAAGGAGGTGTTCGGGAGCTGGGGGTAGCCAAATTTGCTTTTTAAGGAAGGAACCTTTCAGCTATCAGGAGTTCTGCGAAAATATGATAGTTTGGGTGTGTCAAGAACCACCAAACAGTGCTCTCAGCAAAAGAGAGACCTATTTGATGGTTTGCGTTTGAACCCCTCCTTGTGGGAAAACAGCCGAACTATCCAAACAGCCAATACGGAAGCTTCCGTTTCCCAACTGGTTTTAAAGGGCATCTATCACTACTGAGTTGTTCTTCCGGGAAACTTGAGCAACTGGGAGTGAAGGCGATCCAACCCCCGGTTGACTCTCTATCCCAGTGGTTGGACCTTTCAGGTCTTTCCAAGTGGTTGGCGGGGGCGAGGGAGCAGGATGGCCGCGTTTTATTCAAAGGGTGCCGCGTGGTTCGTGCCTTGATCGTCAAGTTGTACTGCATCCTCAGGTCTGGGGATGTGAGCCACACCGCACCATCGCCCCTCACACTGGGAGAGGCTATATACCTTTTTCAAGGCGTTTTCCCAGAGTTGGGTATGGGTCAAAATTAAACCACCAGGGGACCAGGTTCTGGTTTATATGTCCACCAGGGTTCCATTTGGGGTACATATTTTTGACCCACAACCAGTTGACAGCTTTGGTATCATGCTCAGTGCCAGCTGCCCCTGGTATATGCAGCCACCGCGAGCCTTACACGGGCACCATAAACATGTTGTTTCCTTTGGTTCCCCTTTAGCCACCAACCCAAAAGAGGCCCAAATACCAACCAATGGCGTAGCCAATTAGCCAAATTGGGCATGTCTTTTCCAAACTGGTGACTTTCGCTTTTCCTCTTGGCTTCTAGATAGAATCACCTAAAACACACAGGGGCACCGAGCCTTCATCGCTTGGAACCACGCCTCAGCGGCGACACCGGATCTCGAGGTGAGATCAACCCCGTCCACGTGATTGCCAACCTCGAGGTGCGGCGGCTCGGTCGGCGCCTGGAGAGTTGGGAGCCCATGGCTGGCTTGGATCTTTCTGCGTAAAAATGCCAGCTCGGCGATCTCATGCCAGAGTTGTTGTCTAGTCGCTTCCTGGGTGGCTTGGATGAAAAGAAAAGAAGCTCAGACTTCTCGTCCAACACCAAAATGGCCCGAACCCAGTTGCGAAGGTGTTCCTTTTGAAAGCTATCGAAACTTGGGAAGTGAGTGAAGAAAAGGGAGGTTTGTCTTGTTTGTCGGTCAAAGGGGCACCCAAAGGAAAACCACCTCATATGTTTGTTGGTTTTGTTGACCCCTTCAAAAAACGTATCTTGTTGTGGGTTCAATGGAAAACGCTGGATTTACCGAAGAAGTCAAAGTCTAAAGATTCCCGCACATTCTACAACAATTCCAAAAGCTGAATCCAGAATTGCATCCCCAAGTAAAGGACCTTCATCACGGCTTGAGCTCGCTCTACCCCCCTCCCCGCCAGGACATGGACGGACATGGATGGCCTTACTTATATTGACGAGCAACGAGCAAGTGGACGGTTTCTATAATATATATATATATTCAAATCTATATACACAAATACATACACAAGTATCTATACTGTATTTATTTATCTATGAATACACACACACACATATATATATACACATGTATATATATATATATATATTTATACACGTGCAACACACCTAGATTGAGAGGTCTCGAGACCTGTGTTCTTTGCAGCGCAATTGGTATGTGGGCAGCCAAAAGCCGGGAATGGTTTAGAGTTGTTCAGATAGATGGTTAATTTTTTCTAAGTCCCTTTATTGTGGTTTTTTAATGCCGTAGTTCTGACAACAAGACGTGTCAGTGTCCCGTGGTTTTGAGACACGGCTTTTGTGCGAGTGACGCGGGGTTCGGAAGCCGCTCTCTCCAAACCAATCCAAACCACCACGCCCCATGCAAATTAATTTGGGTGCCTGTAAAGGTCGGTCCCTTTTTCAAAAGGAGGGGCTCCTTCGGTGTTCATCCTTGAAGGGATTCATGCCCAGAAAGCATTTGGGATCCGCCTAGCCACACCAGCACGGGATCCGCACGACTGCTTCTTTTCCCATGTGCAGGTCCAACATCCCCTTCGTACTGTCCAAAAAGCAGTGGGGAGTGCTGGGCATAGGCGTTTTGGGATGCGACAAAAACATCAGGACTGGGATTCACCTGGCCAAATCGGTCGCGAGTCGAAACCCGCGCAGGGCACGGCTTTGGAGCAGCCCCGGGCCGCCCGTTGGATGCGTGGGATGATTTGTTGGGCGGTGAGGTTACCCTCCCCTTCAAAAGAACCCCCAGGACCCCCAAACACACCGGTAGGTTTGGAGGTGTGGAAAAGGGGGTTGTGCGTTGCACAGGAACTCAGCTTGTTTTTGGTGGGCATCTTGATGTCAAGTTTCCTAGAGCTGACTTCTGTGATGCGCTGAGAAGGGCCGGCCTCTGAAACAGAGCTCCCGTTTGTTTTTTGTTGGGGGAACCCCCCCTTTTGATCCAAAAAAACAAGCTCATGTGAGATCCCCAACAGCATGCGGTGCTCTTTTTAGTGCTCGCACCATCCCGCGGCCCTTCCAGAACCTGGTGGAACCCTTGTGGAACCTTACCTCAGGGCCGCCCCGGACCACCCCGAAGCCTATCTGGGCTGAGGCCCCAAAGCTTCCAGCTGTTGGGGAAAAAGAAGAGAGAGGGGTTTTCTTTTGGCTTCCCTTAGAACACCACCAAAAACCGGTGTACTCCCCCGCCGCCCAAATGCAGACACCACCACATGTTCCTTTAACAGGGACCTGCTTCGCGCACGGTCCGAAATGGTCTCAAGACACTGGCACTTTCTGGGGTTGAAGCGTTTTTACATGGGGGCATCCAGCTCTTATTTCTGTTCCATTTACAGGTGTGTTCCTCTTAGAGGTAAATACAGAAACGTCGCTTCGCGTTTGCGACGGGCTCTGGACTCTCCCACTGCGGCAGGGTTGCTCCAACCTTGGCTGTCAGTTTTCACCTTGGATGTTCGTTGCCAAGTTAGTAGGTGGTTGGCCAACCCACTTCCAGGGCGATGTTTTCTCTTAGAAACTTGGGAGTGGGTTGTAATTTATAACCTAAGCTACCAACATCTTTCTATCTTGGCCCAACACCCAAGTACCCTTGCGGATCGGGCCTTTGGAGCTTCGCCCGGTCAAATAAAGCAGGGACACGTTCAACGGGTTCCACCAAAAAGTTTGTAGCATCTGCAAGGAACCCCTTTGTTGGAACCCATGCAAAGGGTTACCCAAATCAGCATTCTTCCCATGAGCGCTTCCTTTCATTCTCCAGTGCAATCAGTGACCCTGCGTATAGGTGACCAATGCAGCGAGGCAGAACCGGTACCTCTCCCCCCCCCGAAACCTCCGGAGGAGGGGTTTCCGGAGGTTTTGCCGCCTAACAAACGTCTTTCAGGTAAAAAGGGGGGTTGCCACACGAGTGTTTCCCAGTGTGTCTCAAACCACGATGCCCCCCCGCCTTACCTGTTTCCCTTACAAGACACCAAAGAAGACCCACCCATGGACAATACATGACAATACATTTTGATCTCAACCATGGGTCCGAATTTAAGAACAGTCAAGACCTGCGTTTCTTCACTTGCTTGCGCCCTTGGTTGCTTGCAATTGTGGTAAGTTATTCTCAACGCTGCAAGGACAAAGGGGCACGTATTCCTTAAAAGGGGGGCCCCTAAATTTCACTTTTTGGTGGTTTTAAGCATCACCTTTTTGCCCCCGGAAAGGTGAGTGTCCCTTGGTGGTGATGTCTTAAGGGGACATATGGCCATGAATTTACATAGGGAACCCGCTCAAACGTGGCTGGAGGACATAAATCCCCATGTAAATGACGTCTCACCAACAATGTCCCCAATGAAAATCCAGTCGGCGAGGCCTTGGCCAAGGGCGAGCAGCGGCACCTGCTGCACGGGGACCGCCTGGTGATGAACCTGGGGCAGGCGATGCGCGATTCGCGGCGAACGGGGCGAGTGGTTTTGGCGAAGGGCGGCAGGTTCTAAGTCTCGAGCTTTGGATTTATTCCCCCCCCGGAGAAAGCAGAAAACGAAAGCAAGAAAGCAAGGCATGTGGCTGTTTGTTGTCTGACTCCCTGAGCTTTAGTCACTTTTGGGGATTGGTTGCCATTTCAGCGGCAAACGAGCCGTTTATTTTTGGCCAGTCCACTCAGGAGGTGAGTTTTATGAAGGCAAGCCTCATAGAAGTAGCACATTGAGACCGAAAGTGTCAAAGCTCCTTGCGGATGTATGCTTCTGTTTTACCCAGAGGCTCCCGATGTATTTAGGGCCCTCAAGCAGCCAGGTTTTGAGACCCCCAAACACCTCCGGGGTGTCTGGTGGCGGGGTCGGGTCTTCCCTTGAAAGCCCCAGGAGCCTCTGGGTAGGGCACACTTTTTCGGGTTGGTCTAAAGGGGTAACGGGGGGGTAGCCCTGTTTTGGCACCTAGCCCTTTGGAGAGGAGGGATAGGACGGTCGGAGGGCTCTGGGTCCTCGATGCCGGCGGTTTGGTAGACCAGAATCAGTCAGGGGCCCTGGCAGTCAGGGAAACACTCAAGGGACAGACATGGTGGGTCAAAAATGGGAGCCCCAAATGGCTTGACCCATACCGGCATGTATGGCAGAGATGCATATGTGTGGAATCTAAGCAGGCAGTCGTATGTATGTATGCAACCGTATGCTTTTTTCCAATGTGTGTGTTTGTGTTTGCATAGATGTATGTAACACATGTACGCGCATTCGCACCCCCCCCCCCAGTTTTGTGTGGGAATATGGGGCACGGGACCTCTCGATGCTATTTGGCAGTGGCTCGAATAAATGTACCAAAACGGCACCTGGGTAAATGGAGCCAACGACTAAAACCTGCGCAACCCTAGCTCGTTCATTTCGAGCCACGCCCATTTTCCTTGAACTGGAAACTAAATGAGGATGCTTAAGCTGCAGTGGTTGAACAGGCTTGCACATGCAGTTGCCCAAGCCGGTCCCTCCTGCTGCTCGTGTCCTTTCAGCCAGCCCTGAGATTGACGGCAATTGGTCACCAATTGACGGTCCTAGATGGTACAGACGCCACGGGCGGCTTTTTTTTCTTCTCCGCATCATGCCGGACATCTGCGCTACTCGGAGGAATGCCCCCAGACTCCGAGATTGACATCGCGTTGGCCAGGTGTTAGCCACTCTTCGAGTATTTGACTCTTTGCCTTTCCAGCATTTTGCCCTTCAACCAGCACGACCTTAGTTGGTTTGCAGCGTCTCCACTCCCAGGCAGGCCAACATGGAAGGATCTATTTCAAAGGAGGATCCCTCGCTCCATTTTGGGGGACCCGTGTTCGGTTACAGATGGTTCCTTAAAGTTTTGACGGTTCAAGATTACTTCGGGCGGTGTCCCCCTAAGCCACCATTCGGATAGGGGGTAATTTCGAGCAGTAACCTCAAGCAAGACAAACAGCAACCGACTGGCGAGTGAGATGCGCGCACTGATGCCTTCTCCGGAAACTCCTCGCCGCGCAGTAATATGGTTGTGTGTGCCCGACGCCTTTTTGGGTTGCCTTTAAGCTGACCCTTTGGGTACCCTGTTTGAGTCATCCATTGTTTTGAGAGAGGGTGGTTTACTCTTTTTTGGATGCGTGGCGGAGTTTGCTAGAAACAAACACCAGCCAACCTGGTCCATTTGAGCTCGTTTTGTTTTATGGTACTTGTTGCGTTTTTTTTCCCCAGGGGAACCAGGAGAAAAAGCCACAGTTTTACTGGGGTGGGTCCCACCCCCATTCGCCGCCTTGTGCGGCTTTTGCTTGGAGCGAGCGAGCGAGGCGCACACCTTTTGGATGACTTTCTCGGATCTCACAGCCCTGGCCTTGATAGACTGATAGACCGACATGGGTCCACTCAAGGGCTGGGGTGGGGAGGCGGGAGGGGGGGACCGGGGGACCGGGGGGGGGGAGAGATACAGCAAGATGTGGAATCAAAGAAGAATCTCTCGTTTGTTTTGGTAATATATGTCTTTCTGTGGGCTTTTACGTAAAGACATGGTCCACAGCTTGGTGTGCGGATCCAGTTGTAGCATTTGCCTCCCGAAGTGAGGCTCACTTAAAACGGTGGGGTCTCCTCCAAAGCTTTCTGATTTGTGCGGTAAACTAAAGCCTGGACACAGAGTGAGACACTATTTAAGGAGCCCGATTTCTTTAGCTGCACTCGGGTCAATTGGTGGATGATGACTGCAGTCCAAACGCTCTTCTGCAGGTTGCAAATCCAGCTGGGCCCTTTGCCTCCTTTCAAAATTGGGGAGCACCCTTTTGCTTTCCTCTGCCCACATCAAAACAGCATCCAATGAAATCAATGCAACCTTGGCCATGCCCCAACTGAGCACTTGGCATGCATAAAAGGGCCCTGATTGCTACCCGCTGTTGAAAAGCATGTCAACCATCTCGTTTTGTTTTTTTAGATGAAGCACCAACAGTGGACATTTCAAGTTTCTGGGGCCCGGCCCGGATGCCCAGTGGAGCCATATCAGGCAGCTGCCGATTCGTTCCTGGATTTTGGCTGGAATTGGTTCACCTGATCAATTATCAAAGGCATCTGACTATGGGTCAAAATTCAACCACCAGAAGACCGCAGGTTTAGTCCTTATTTTCATTTACCAGGGTTCCATTTTGGGCACACATTTTTGACCCACAGCCATCTTAAACGGAGCCAGCCACCGCACCGCCGGCAAACCTTGGAGGTTTCCATCGCTGGATCCCCAATTCGGGGGGTCGGGGGCCTGCCTTTCCATCGCTGAGGGCCGGCACGAGAGTCAGCCGTGGGCTGAGCTATCCTTGCGGTTTGTCGCGGAAGGAGCCCGTCGTTTTATCGCAGCCGTGGTTTGGCTGCGTAAGTCCCTGGGGTGTTTTTTTTTTTGGGGGGGGGGGGATTTGGGGATGGGCGGTCCGGGATCCTTACGTTGAAGAATCGGTAGTTGTCTTCATGACATTGGCAAGGGCGAGCGGCGTCTTCCCTTGCCCGTTGGCCGGATCGTCGAAGGTAGGGGAGCCTCAGCCCAAAACATCGTCCAGGTCTGACCTGTTGGGTTTCCCAGGGTCAGCGTTTCCAGTCGCAGCCCAAAGGGGAGCGCCTTCCTCCCGCCAGCAGAAAGCACGAGGTCTCGACAGGTGCGGGGGAAGTCCGCTGCGAAGGAGTGGTGCGAGGGAAGGGCAGGTTGGTGAGGTGTCAGCTTGAAGTTTCGGTGTGGTTTGAGCCACTACGAGTACCACAGGTTTTCTCTCCAAAGGACACTTCTGGAGATCATGGGTGTCAGTTTGAAGTGTTTTAGGGATTCAACTACCAGCTGTAGACATGTACGAAGTCGGAGCAGTCAACAGCAAGGCGGGCTGGCGGCCTCCCCCCAATCGCAAGGCAGCTGGAAAGCGGAGGGCCCACCGAATCTTCGGAACCCTGGGATCGGTGCCACTAAATGGGCGGCAGCGACATGTATTGGAGTGGTAAAAACTTCCAACGAACCAAGGCGAGCCTTCAAAACGCAGGAGTATTTTTTCGATGGGGCTATAGGGTGCGAGCTGGTCTTGAAACGAAGGCCAAACTCAACGAAGGCCAGACGAAGCCTATTTTCTCTTCTGAGTATGAGGGATGACAAGTAACTGGACAACTATGGGAAGACTACCGGAAGACTGTGGGAAGATTGCCGGAAGACTCTGGGATGGGAAGGCACGAGAAGAGACTACAAGATTACATGACCAGAAACCCGACCAAAAAAAAAAGGCGAGACTTCGACGAAGCATTCAGAGATATTCCGGTTTGGCACATAAGGGTGTCGGCAGCGGCTCACTTTTAGCATCTTGCAGGCTCATTAGTTCTGGCCCAGAATCAACGGTTTGTACTTTTTGGATCAACGGTTGGGGTAGATTCGTCGGTTCGCTTTGGCCATGTTTGGCGGCTTCGGTGAAGATTTCGGACAGGATGAGGACCTCATCTCGACGGCGGCGGGGGAGCTCGGGGAGCCGGGGCTGCAACCCATCTCTTTGGTAACGGATCTTTGGACTCTAACCTTTCATTGAAACAGTGGATGTTCCATAGGTCCCACAAACAGCTTTTAGCTTTTTGCAAAGGGGTCGTTGCAGCAACCAAGATTTGCAATGGGGCTCCCCTTCGCTTTCAGTCCCGGATGGGACCCGGATTTCCCAGTGCAAAAAGCACAGGCCCCCTGGGAATGGTGAAACGGCAAGTGGGACGCATACAAACACCTGAGCTCCCAACTGAAGTGAGTTGAGTTGTTGAGTTGTTGCTTCGGCACCCACGCAAAAGGGCAGCCCCCCCCTCCCCCTCCCCTCCCCCTCCCCTCCCCCTCCCCTCCCCCTCTCTCCCCCCTTTCGACTCCCCCCTGCTCCGCCCTCGGGCTGCCCTGTCTGATTGCCAGCGATGTTTTTCGGGTCTTCTCGCCGCTCTCTTCGCTCGCTTCGCTTCACACTTCAGTCCCCTTTTCGCATCAGTTTGCTCTTGTGTTTCAAGGCCGGTCCTCCCAGTCGAATCGTAGTGCATTCCGAAGTTGATACGGGACACTGAGTGTACGTCTGCTTCATAGTGGGCTATGCACAATTATACGGTGCCGGGGGGTACCTCAGTTTTAGCACCAACACCTCCAGAAATTGTCTCGGGGACGTTGCATTGTTTAGGGGAATTACGAAACGGTATCCTCCCTTTCGTGTCTCCCCTTCTCAAGAACAGTTTGTTTGCCACACTCGAGCGAATCGGTTTCAACTCTGCTCGCTGAGGCGACTCCACACCAGGTTGGGCCTGAAGCACGTCGAAGAACGGAAAATCGGTCGGGCCAGTAGAATTTTTCGTTTTTTTCAGGTAAAAGCGGTGTCTTTTTGGAGGGGAGCCTCTCTTTGGCTGGTCAAAAGAAACCAAGAAGAAACTCTCAAGCTTCACTTCCGGGTGAGGCACAACCCGTGGCAAAAGACAAATGGGTCTGTTTTTTTTTTGTAGTGGAGACCCCCCCCCAAAAAAAAAAAGAAGAAAAAGAGAGAAGTAAAACTAAATGTGGTTTTCTCCTCTTGGCTGTAAAACCAACCCAAAGTGGGCACCCACACAAGAATGACACAACCAATGTTTTGGCTCACTTACGAGCTTGGAGGGTTCCCTGGGTCATTTTGACCTAGAGCCCTGTATGACGTGACAACTTGGAGTATTTGTCACATGTCACACAGCCTGCATTGGGAAAGTCAGGCTCCAAGTGATGGTCCCGAAATGGGACACTTCCCCCCCTTGTTCCAGAGCCCAGGCCTGGGCTCGTTGAAGTCGATTTTTTTTGTTTTTTTTGCTTTGGTTGGCGCCTAAAAACATGTGTGAAAATGATCCGGGAAAGAGTTCCTCAACCATGCCGGTGTTTGTTTTCGTTTGGGAAGGGGCAAGTTTGGTACCCTGACCTTGCGAGATTTTCCGTGAACTTGTGGCTCAGGGACATGGCCTCCAAGAAAGGCGGTGCAATGAAACTTTTGCTGGAGGAGTTTTGAAGAGTTGCTGATTTTTTCCGGTGGGTTTGGGATATCGCAAGTGGAGGTTGTTTGTTCCAGGGCTCAAGCAAATGGAGGCAAGGGGCCCGTATTCTTTCCCAAGCCGGGGGTAAGAATCGTTACGCGGGTAGGTGTGGAACTGCCCTTGGGGCACAGAAACAAGCTGGGGGCACGCACTGCACATTGCTTGGGACACCAAGAGGAGTTGCCGTTTAAGCATTACGGTGGTTTTGCCGCCCACGTGACGTTCTTTTTTTTTTCCGGCCGGAGTCGGTCAATGCACCGGCTTCTCCTTGCGAAGCAGACCTACTTTTTGATCATGAGGGTATGAGTTTTTTGAGGTACCCCAGTTTTGGTGGTTTTAAAGGACAACCAACAGGACAGCCACCATTTGGGGGGTCTCCTAACACAAAGAGAGACCCATGTGGGTTCGTTTTTTTGAAGGCACGGGTTGTGGATTTTGGTCGTCCATGGACGAGCACTTGAGTGCTCGTTGTGGTATGGCTCCACGATCCGGGAAGCCGACCGCCGGCAGGATGAGGATGAGGACGGCGGGCGGTTCCTGCTAAAGGCGTGGCTGTGAAAGTGGTACCTGCTTCGGCACCATGGGCCGGGATATGTCTGAATCCATAAAAGCATGGAAGTACCCACCCCCACAATGTATGGACGGGGGGGGAATAAACCCGCTTGGTGCGTACCAGAGAAATGTATGGGAGGCTGAATCCCTGGCCAATTTCTCGACCAGTGGGCAGGCTCCGTGCGGTGCAGGTCGCTTGGGTCAGCCCCAGGGAAAGGGTCCGTGCCCATTTCGGGGGGGTCCTTTGCCGGATGGAAGAAGCACACAATTCCCACAGAGTTCAACGTCTTCGTGGAGAGAAAGGAGTGAACACCGGGGGGTGGGGGGGGGGCTCGTGGTTTCCGGTTGCGGAACTGGTGAAGTTCGGGTTCTATGAGCATCTGCAGGGCGGTCAGAGGTTCATTGTAATTATCTTTTTTGGGGACCCCCTTCCCCAAATGCGGCTTTTCTTTGGGTTTTCGTTTAAAAGCACCAAGGGGAAGGGGGTACTTTCCCATCGTGAGCCTTAACTTGCGCAATGCGTGAGGCGGGCTCCCCGATGAACCTGCCGGGCATGCAGACGCTTCGCGCTCGGCGTTTCGGCGTTTCGGCGCCGGGAGCTTTGGTTTTTCAAGAAAGCAGAGCAACCAGAAGCAAGCATGTGCAGCATCCAACAAGCTAGAAGCATTGATGTGAACCCATTTGCCAGGGTTTAGGGTTCAGGGTTTAGTAAGTCATTGATGTGAACCCATTTGTCAGAACCTATGGGTTACCCAGGTGAAGTAGTGATTTCAGGTGCCCCTTGACTCTCAGCCTGTGCGCATAAGAGGCTACCGCTTTACCGCCTTCACATTCGGTTTGTTGAAGGATACACGGCGCAAGGTGCATGTCAGAGCATGTTTGGTTTTCAGCTTTTAAAGGGAGACACCTCTATAAGAAGCAGAAAGGGCACAACTGGAGGTCTGCCCTTGAATTAAGTTCCTCCCAGAACGTGGAAATCTCCGGAAAACGTGGAAACTGAGGCAGTGGTGGTTGGGTTTGTGTGCTTTTAGAGAGGCACCTCGCACATCCTGTTCCCAAAACTGATCTTAAGCCGAAGCCCGAACTGCCCATGGTCCACTAAAGCGACACCATTCCAAACTACTTCAATGGTGACAAAACAAACCTGTGTTGGAATGATTTCCATGAGAATGATGGGATTTCTTGGTTTCATGTTGGTTGATTGATCATGGCGGAGTACTAAAAGAGAGCCCCGCAAAGCACCTGTTTTCCACTCTTCTTCTTCTTCTTCTTCTTCTTCTTTTTTTTGGGGGGGGGCGGTGTGGTATGTTTTTCCTTGACCTTAGCCTTGGTTTTTCAGGAAGGCTCCAGCAAATTAAAACACTTCACCCCCCCCCCCCACTCCCCGGGGCAAGCAAACAATCCGCGGCCCACAAACAAACACACAACCAACCAATCAAGCAAACGAGCAACAAACAAACAAAGTAACAAGCAAGCTAGCAAAGCAAGGCAAGAAACGCAAGAAACCGCACACATGCACAGGCACGTTATGTTCCGTCGGATTTGGGGGCCGTCCAAATCTCCAACTCCGGGCAAGGCTGAAGGTGGATGCTTTGTGGAGCCGGCCAGGCGGGGCCGTATAGCCATTCGGACCACCCGGCGCGCTCGACACGCCTCACTCCTCAGCCATATCCCACGAGTTCCTGGACGTCAGGCGACGTCAGGCCACCTTTTTGGGACCATGCAGTTTAGTGGCAAAGCGGCTTGGAGCTGCCAAACCAGGGAAGGAAGTCCAACTATTGGGCTTAGGGCCTTAAGGAGGCCGGTGGGTGCGCTTGTTGGAGGGGTTGAATTCCATGAGCAGCCTGTTTTAACACCGCTGGTTTATGGCGAGCGCACCATGATGAAGGTCCTTTACTTGGGACCCCTTAGTTAAGGTTCTTGGAGTGGGAAACAAGTGGAGATACAAGGTATCCACCCGGTTTGCTACGTTCCCGAGCTTCCTTTAGGCTGGGTGATGTTTGCAGGGGATCTTGGGGTGGGCCTCTTTGGGATATGCAAGTAGCACCTTAGACAATCAAAAGGCGACTGCAGGCAGGGGTTCATGGTTTGACTACTTCAAGGTAGACATAAGTCGAGGGTGGTTGGTTTCCCTAAAAGGGAACCCCCCTGAAGAAAAAAACTACCTTGGGTAGTCAAAAAATAGAACCCTGACTTAAATTGTCCGACTGGTCAAAAAAACCACATGCCCCCTGTTTCCGCCGGCACTGGGGTTTTCGGGGCCATCTTGGGACTTCAGCAGGCAACGCGAATGATTTGGGCCAGTCCAGCGGGTCTCCGTGGTAAGCTTTTGTAAGCGGCAATTCGCAGGCAGGCAATCCGCACCTTGTTGTTTCTTCCATATTTTTTGGTACCTGTGCCAGATTTACAGCTTCCCTCTTGGGTGTCGGAGGTTTCGGGGGTTAGGGGACCTTTTTGTTGTCGCGCGCCCACTGCTCATCATTCGACACCTTTCTGGGGTTCCAAGTAAAGGGTCCCGAATGCTCCCCAAGGAACTTTAAGGAACTCTAGAGCTCTCAACTACCCAGACCCTTGTGGTAGCGCGTTCGGCAGAACCATTCCCCGCACAAAAGGAACTCGATCCAATTAAACTCTATCCAATGTCCGGATGTGGGCTCAGATGAAACCTTTCCAGCACATCCCACCCCTTCTTTTTAACAGATGCGCCAAGCATGGGTTTCGCGGCATCCGCGGATTGCGCCAAAGGGCGCAAGCAATTGATTCATACAGCGCACATTTTTCACAGTCCAGCCGTGGCCAGCCTAGCTTAAACATGCAACCCCCCTCCCTTGCACCCAAACACACCCCGTTTGGTGTGTGTTTGGTGTGTGTTTGGTGTGTGTTTGGTGTGTGTGTGTGTGTGGGGTTGGGTGGTAGTAGCAGCTTTGCGAGACTTGATCCTGTTTTGAGTTTGACTCGGTCGGAGGGGAAGGGATGGGATCCAACACGCAACTACGAGTGGACGGTCTCCATTTTTTCAGAAAGCTCCAAGCAGGTCAACGGGTTACGTGCGCTTGCGCAGTCATGCGTGCATTGGAAAGAGACCCCGGAACCGAGAAAAGATGCGCCTGTGGATTGCATGGAAAGCACGCTTTGAGGGCAGTCCACAGCCGATCCACCAAGTTTGACCTCATTCTTTCGAAAGCAACCCCCCCCCCCGAGTGGTAGGTGAAAGGTGAGCAACCAACCAGTTGCTGACCATGATGACTCTCCCAGAATTTGGAACAAACTTGTTCCAGAAGGCTGGCCCTGGATTTAAGTTAAGACCTGACTCAAGTGACAGGGAAGCCCCTTCAAAACAGGGGTTCGTTTATGTCCATGATTGGTGGGGAGAAACACATCGCATGTTTTTGCCAAGTTACGTGCCCCCTTCCAACAGTGAACCTTCAAAATGGGCCTGGGGTCATTTGTTTTGACAGCGTCAAAGTCAGAAACTGGTTGGTGGCTTCCCCTTCAACCTACCACTCAAACCTGGGTGGGTGACTTCGATCGTGGTGCGCTGGGCGTGTTCCCAGAAATTTATGCGCAGAAACCCGGCAGGCTCGATCTCCCCGGGACCCCGGAACGGCGCCTTGGCAAGGGCTGAGTAAAGGCCAGTTGGCGTACTCCTTCGTTTTTTTTTTGGTTTTTCCGTTTTTTTTTTTTCTCTTCTTCTTCTTCTTTTTTCTCGCAGTTTTTGGTGTATAGTGGGGAATCCGTTTAAAGACCAGTTATGTGGGACCCTCAAAAAGAAAACAAAAAGGAAAGAAGCAGGATCAAGACCAAACGATTTCTTGCGGGCGTTCCTTTAAGACCTGAAAGGGCAGTCAAAAACTCACATTCTTATCCCGCGTGCATTTCCTGGTCTGGAAGTGTATGTCAATCTGTAGTGTAAACAGCTGGACGCGGATAAAATTGAGTGAATGATTGTTGGTGAGAAGGGAGCTCTGCCCTTGGTTAGCTAGCGCTGGTATCTGCTCTTTATGTAATATAGTTCCTCTTTCCAACCATCATGGAATCGCAGTGGGTGTTTTTGTGATTGTTTTTCGACAATGCTTTGGTGCATTTTGCTTGGATGTTAGGACTTTAACCTTTTGCCAGCCAATGGGTTTTCCATTAAACCACTAAAAGTTAAACTTTTAGCGGGGGAGCAGAAAGCAACCGAGAATGGGTAGGATTTTTGGAGCAGAGGGTCTGACGTCCCTCGACACCTCCCAAGGGGATGGACAGCTGCGCAGCAGCAGGAGCGGTTTTTGTTTGTTGGGGAGTTCGTGTCGCGCGTGAAAAACCGGCTCCATTTTTCTCAGCCCCTACCCACAAGGAACTGACCAGAAGGTTTCAGGAGTCTTAAAGGGACCTCCCGCCATCAGGAATAAGTCGGAAGGAGCAGGGTCACTTGTTGACTACCCCAGGGTAGACTTAAGCCCAGGGGTGTTGTTTCATTCCCCCATACGGGAGAACTTCGGACTTGAACCCCCAGGCATCCCCTGTATTCCCCCTGAGCATCGAGCATCCCGAAGGCTCGCACATCAACCAGGGGACGTTTGCACCGGCAAAATGCCATGCGGGACGCTTGATCCGTTTTTCACCAGGAACTCGCGAGCTGTCTGAAAGAGGACCCTGCTCCTAATTTTGATTTTCTGTGTATTCCAAACTCTGAATGTGCCATGATCATTTTGAAAAACATGTGGGGTTGGTGGGGTGGTCATTCACCCCTCAGGAAATGCGGGTGTGTCTTAAAAAAAGGGGACCCCCCCAAAAAAAGGAAAGAAGAAGATAGAATAACAAGCCATGAATACGAGAACAAGACAAAGATTGTGGTGGTTTGCCCTTTGATTTCCCCTTATTCCACCACCACCAAATGGGCACCGAGGCTTCAAAAGAAGAAAACCAGATATGAGACGGCTCGTAAGCCGGGACATTGTTCCCAGAATCAATATGGCCCTCGAGAGAAAAAGGGGGGGGGTGAGGGGA